GGGAAAGAGGAAGGGAAGGAAGGAGGCAGAGAATGTCTCCTCTCTCTCAGGTCTTGGCAACTGTTTCCTGGTCTCTGTCCTGCCTGTCTCGGCCCCCAAGAACTTGTGAGCTGTCAGCAGACACACTCTTGGAGTTCTCACCACAAACTGCCTAGAGCTGCAGCTTCCCGATCTACTTCTGGTGTCTTGTTTGTGGAAAGGCTGCTTTTCAGTCTCCTGCTCATGGATCCACCTGCGGTGTAGGTGGCTGGATCCCACATGGCCGACTATATGGGTGCCCAAAATCCCAAAAGGAGGGAGATATGGAGAACGGACTGTGGCATGACCACTCCCCAAGGAAGACGTGCCCTCATTTTCCTTCTCTCCCTCTCTCTCTCTCTCTCTCTCTCTCTTCTTCGAGTATCCCCATCCTCTGGCAAATTTTCTTTTTCAATACAAAGAAAAAAAATTAAGTCTTTTTCTCCCCTCTTAAGAACTTGGTAACCTGCAGCCTTGCTGGCAGGGTCCCCTGTTGAAAAATGATGAGGCTTAAAAACAGCAGCAGAGCATTAACCCAGGCGTGGGCCTTACTGAGTGTGGGCCCTTCGGGAGCACCAGCCCTGTTTGAGTGCACAAGTCATGCACCCACAAAGTCAGCCCTCCCGCAGTGAGTGTCAGTGCTTCCTGAGCTGCGATCTCACTGTGCATTCCACCCCATCCTGGTGTGGGCGTACACACCCACCTGGCAGAGTCTCATCCCTCCAGTACTCTTCTGCTAGGTCTTTGAGGGTGTTCCATGCCCTCTGCTCAGCCACTTCAGGGTCTATCCTCATGGCAGACCCATAGAGACCCATCTCTAGAGCAGGATTCTATTTCTCCATTGAATTCACTCCTCTCCAGTTAATCTTTTTCAGTCCTCAATAAAATGATGTTGACCTTCTGGGTGAGATTTAAATCTCATCTGGGTCCCAGGAGCAATGAGAAAAAAGAGTAGTCTGCTTTTTTTTTTTTTTTTTTTTTTTTTGGGGGTGTTTTTCCTTTGGGGGCAGTCGCCCGCCTAGAGACAGAAAGCAAGAAATCACCCCCCAGGGGGGATGGTCACACCACAATCCCTTCTCTTGGGATCTTGGGCATGCACGCACACGCGCCTGGCTTGAGTTATAAGCCACCGGGTCTGGGACGCGAACCGCGGTCAACTACGTGGGAGTCCAGCAACATAGCCATTACGCTAACTGCTGGTTCCCAAGAGTAGTCTGCTTCTTAACACCACTAGTCACATCAATTTAATACTAGTGCTGATAACTATCAGCTGAGATTTTTCTCTTCTCTGGAGAAGAGGGTCTAGGGCAGCCTGGGGACACTGAGGACCCTAGAGATGAAACCCTTACATTTCCCAGAAATCTCATTCGATAACAGTCCTGTTCATTAGCAGTATGGAAACTATGATGTTTTTATCCAGATGAATAAACTGAAACCCAGAGAAGTTAAGTGACTTCTCAAGATCACACAGTTAGGAATTAGCACGAAGTAGAACACACACTATCTGAGTCCTGAAATAACCTGCTTTTCTCTACACACACTGAGGATCCCAGCCTCTCTGTCTTGCCATTACTTCTGTCCACAGTGGGACATTTTATAAACCACAGCTTAAAAGTTTGAAGCAGTTTTCATTCTATTGGTCTGTAAAAGAATCAACCATAATTTCTGCCTTCCCACAAAGGTAACAACTTTGAACCTCATTTTTATTTCTTGTTCTGATTCTTCAGAGACAACCCTGCTACCCAGTTTAACCTCAAGACTCACATGAATTCCCAAGATCTGAAGACAGCCATAAAGAAAATTACCCAAAGAGGAGGGCTTTCTAATGTAGGTATGTGATCCAGATTCAGATAATTCTGTCTTGCTACCATGGTTCTCTTCCCACATGTTATTCACCTGAAATTTTTTATATAAGAAGGAAAATTAATCCATCAAGCAATGACTTACATAATATCTGTATCTTTTTTTAAAAAGTGTTATTGTGGAATCAGGGGCAAGAATCACTAGAACTCAAACACTGCAGAGTTCCTATGTGCTTGCTTCCTTGGGTTACAGCCGTCTTTGAACACGCAGGACCAATTGTGTGACTATTTTCTGGTTGACCTACAAGCCATTAGCTATTTAACATTAAACTGTATGACCAAGTCCACTTAGAAAGCCCCTCAGTGACCCTTGAGTATCTAGTCCCAATCAGTTACTATTGTAGTGAGGACTGTGTGAAGAGAGGCAGGTTCTCTCTTTCAAGCTAAGTCTCTAGTGATGTGTAAGCCTTCAGGGAGATAACCAGAAGCTAGTCCTCAGTGGGGTAAGACCAGAAACTATGATTTACTAGTTCACCAGAGGTGATTGGACATTAGTTTCACACTAACTAAACTCAAAGACTGTCAAAGGGCTCATGCCAATGGATTTGTTTATAAATGGTAGTCTGGCTTTTAGGGCACTGCGGTAGGGGATAATGGGCTTATTGTTCAGTTCTCAAGGACAAGTTCTCAAGGTTTCTACCAACATTGTCCAAGGAAATGGAGACATGAAATACAGTTGCTTGGCATAGAGCACATGCAATGAATAGAACTGTCTTTGAGGAAACATCCTTGGAGTTACGTAAATGTGATTACTTTCCTTCCTTACCACAGTGTCCATCTATGTAGAGACCAGAACAACTAGTATTTAGCAAATATAAAGCCTTTCAGTTTTAAACAATTCTAAATGAACACCTGTCAAGTCACTGTTCTTCATGCTCCAAAATTAATATTATCCTCATCACAAACATGATAATTGATTTCTGATTATTTTTTAGTGTTTCTGTTTTCTTATGTCTTTGGTGGTTTTTTGTTTGTTTGTTTGTTTGTTTTTTGCCATGGAGCAAGTGCACTCACGAGAGGGAGATAGAAGGAAAATGATAACTCACCTCCCAGGGGGAATGGCCATGCCACAGTCCCTTCTCCTCCAATTTCCTTAAGGAATTTTGGGAACATATGTACACACACCCGGTGTAATTTTTCAAACCAATGGGCCCAGGACTCAAACCATGGTCATCCATGTGGGAAGCCAACATCTTAACCACCATGCCACTTGCTGGCCCCATTTCTAATGTTTTTACTTAATGCTTAAAAATTCCAATGGGAAAAAAATCTTCAAAAGGCACTCAATTTCATTGATATTGCAGAGGTGTCTTAATCCAATCAATGTGCCATTTTTCAATGACTGACATGTTCTAACACTTCCTCTGTATTATTCAGGGTTTTTTGTTATTGTTGTTTTTGTTTGGGAGGGTTTTTTTTTTGAGAGTTTTTTTCACTATAGGGCATGTTCGCTCACCAGACAGACAGAGAGACATAGAGACAGAAAGCGAGAAATCACCCCCCAGGGGGGATGATCATGCCACAGTCCCTTCTCCTCCATTCTCCTCTCGGGATCTTGGGCATGCACGCAAACGCACCCAGCGTGAATTTTAAGTCACCGGGTCCAGGACGCGAACTGTGGTCGACTACGTGGAAGTCCAGCAACATAGCCATTATACTAACTGCTGGTTCTCTTATTCAGGGTTTTAGTAAAGAGGACAGAATCTATATAACTGATCCAAGCAAAAAGAGGTCTCGGGTATGAAGTAGTATTGAAAACTATGGAAAGGCTGGAGAAGCAGACCATAATCTGAGCTTTCAGAATGACTTCTGAAGACTTCTTACAGAATCAGGGCCTCCAAGGGAGCTTGTGTTTCATCCAAGATCAAGAAACTTCTGAATTCTACAGTATAACCTCTTCAGGAATCTAATAGTCACCATAATCATAAAGTTGTTGCTACAGCTATCAGCCCCAGAGCTGATAGCCTACCTGCCCCATTCTCACCCACAGAATGGAAGCTCCATACCCTATCACCTCCTACCATCAAATCTGGCAACCAAACACAGCACTTCTGCTACCAGTGCTCCAGAGAAGCCACATACCCTACAGATACAAGTCATCAGAAACAGCAGAAACAAAAGTACTCTTCTGCTTCACTTTCATCTTCTAAATCTCATGCAAGCGCTAGAACAGAGCTAGAAATGAGGCTGTAGGGAGTCTGAACAATGTTAAGTTTCTGATTCCCAGCCTCTGCCTTCAAGACAGAGTGGAAAGTGTGTTGAGCATTCATTCACAGTGATCTCTAAATTTAAGGTTAGGTGAGGTTGAGGTGATTTTCTATGATTCCCTGTGCTCTGCCAACAGGTGCCTAATACTGGGTCTTGGGGGCCAGCCAGTGGTGTGGTGTTGGGGAGGATGGATCACACATGGCTGACTGAACAGTTAGAGTCCTGAACCTGAAGGCTTGAAAAACATGCTGGGTGCATATGTGTTCATGCCCAAAATCCCAAGAAGAGAATGGGAGAGGGACCATAGTGTTACCATTCCTCTGGGGGACCAATTTCTTATTCTCTCTGTCTCTCTGGCGAGTTCATGCACCTTGTAGCAAAAATTGAAGGAAAAAAAATTAAAAAGAATGCTTTGGGTCTTGAGAGAAATTATCCCTTGCTAATAAAAGCAGTTCTCAGCAGCCAAGGTTTTCCCTTAGTACCTAGATTCTGTGCAGCCAGTTCCCATGGCTTCTTCAAGACATTCTTTGCATGTACCTACTTGATATCTTCATTCAAAAGGTGAGATTATTCTAGCCATTGGCCAGCCAGGATGCTGGCCCAAACCAGAGAAGCACTGAGGGCAGTATTAACCCTAAAGTTTAAAGGAGGTGGTAAAAATTTGAAAATTTCATGAAAGCTCTAGCCTTTCTGTCCAGATAGCTACTTATATACCTGAAATACTGTGTAGGATTACAGGAGATGTATGGCTGTAGCCCCAGTGTCCCGAGGTCCACAGAGCCCACATTAAGAGCTTTCTTCTATGCAGGCATGCCGTCTCTAGGGTGATCAGTCATCTCAGTTATCCCAGAAGAATGTGGGACTCGCAGTGCTCAAATTGGCCAAGTCCTGATGAACTGGAACAGTGGGTTGTTCTGGTCCGCCGAAAACGTAACGAGGGCCAGCAGAGTGTGAGGTGTACCCTTGGGAAAGGCATGTCAGGCGGCTTCATAACACCTCATGACTGCTGCACTCAACTGAAGCAGATTGTTATGGACATCTAGACCCAGACACCTAGAGTGACTTACCCAGGGCCACACAGTCCATTGGTGGCACAACCAGGGCTACCACACAGTCAATTCCTAGCGGGTGCAGCTCTCTCCTGATCAGCCAGACGTGCGCCCCTGGCCTGGAACTGGAGAAAAGATACCGCTGACCCCAGAATACAGCTCTCCACACCCAGCAGCTCCTGGAGCACCAGGCTCGACGCAGCCTACAGAGGCCAAGAGCCGGCTACTGTCACTCCTCCCACCCCACGTGCTCAGAAACAACCTGGGGCCAGTTTAGGGGCTTAGTGTGTGTTCAGCACCCAGGCAGAGAAGGAGCCCGTTTGTGCTTATGGAAATCTTTTTCACATGCTTGCTGGTCCCTACAACTTTTTCTTAAACAAAAGACAAGAGACAATTAGAGGTTGAAGGCTTAAAATGAAACTGGAGAATGAAATGAATAGCGGTGATGATTGCACAGCGGTATGGAAGTGCTTAATGCTACTAAGGTATCTGCCTAAAAATAAAGAGGTTTTAAAAAAAGAAATGGGGTTAGCTGATGGCATGGTGGTTAAGGCAGCTGCATCCCACAGAGCCGATCTCGCAGTTCAAATTCTGGACCTGGCAGCCTGGGAAATACACTGGACACATGTGTGCATATGCCCGAAATCCTAAAAGGAGGGGAGACGGAGAAAGGATTGTGGCATGACCACCCCCCCACAGGGGTTGCTTTTTCACTTTCCCTTTCTCCTTCTCTTTCTCTTTCTGCGGCAAGCACACATGCCCTCTGGCAAATAAATAAATAAGACCAGAGGGAATAAGTGTTGTTTTGCTTTTATTTTTTTTTTTTATCCCTTTGGGCTGCTGTGCTCTGTTCCTGTATTTATAATCACTCAGAACACAAGTTTTCTTCTTCTCTCAGGTCGTGCCATCTCCTTTGTGACCAAGAACTTCTTTTCCAAAGCCAATGGAAACAGAGGCGGTGCTCCCAATGTGGCTGTGGTGATGGTGGACGGCTGGCCCACAGATAAAGTGGAGGAGGCTTCACGACTCGCGAGGGAGTCGGGAATCAACATTTTCTTCATCACCATTGAAGGTGCTGTTGAAAACGAGAAGCAATACGTGATGGAGCCCAACTTCGCAAACAAGGTATGGAACCGGACCTAAGGTCCCCTGCTCTCCAACGGTTGTAACCCTCTCCTTGCTGTTTCCTCATTCCTTTTAATGTCTGCTAAACTTACTTCTAGGCAACAGGGCTGCCAAGGCGGGACTGCTAGGTCTAGAACCTGTAATTACTTGCTCAAAGCAAAACCCTACTCCCACTCCAGGCCAGGAGCTCACACAGGCATACAAGCATGCACACGTGTGTAAATGCATTGTCTCATGCACATACACACACATAGTCTCACATGCACACACTCTGCAAACTAACCAATCTGATAAACCAGAAAAAGGAGGTATTAAACCAGATCAGTGAGACCATGTTTTCAAATGCTACTCCTGGTTCTGTGGAAAAGCCTGGCAGGAGATGGGGGGAGGACAGGGTGTGGATCTAGGCCTCCCACACCCATTCCACCAAAGCCAGTGGTTTACACATTGGGACTCCACATAAAACTTCCTCCAAAGGAAAGGCTCCAGCTTTGAAGAAGAAATAAAGACCCCCTAGGACAGGTCTCTTCAATGCCCTTCCAGGTTTAATACCTGTGTGTTTAGAGCTCCTAAGGCCCAAACTCCTGCACCATATCAAACCGCTGACCACTTCATAATCCTTGAAATTCTCTTCCCCTTTGACTTGCAGGATGTGGCATGGCTCTTACTTCATTTTTTTTTTCCTGTCTTGCATCGTAACTGCGGTCTTCCCCAGGACTTGATCCCCGGCTCTTTCTTCATGATTTCTCTGGACTCTCTCCAGGACCACAGTCTCAGCCTTTGCCCTTTGAGCTCTGTGGTCACTGATTTCCAGCTGACTGACTTCTTCACCTGGGGTCCTGTCAGAAACTTAAATCCCACGTGCAATAAGCCAAGTTCATCATCTTTCCCACCCAGACTGCTTCCCTCTCTGGAATTCACGTGAACAACCTCCCACCCACCCCAGAGGGCAGTGTCATCGCAGAAGTCCTCACCCACTGCCACATCACATATTTCTGTCTGCTCTCTGCTACGCCCACTGCCACCTCCCCAGTTCAAACTGGTGCTCAACACCTGGTCCTTCTCCCTCCTCAGAGTCCCCAGTTTATTTTTTCCACAGTGAAACCCAATTCATGTTTATGAAGAGCTCCTCTGGTTCTGTGGGCTCCTTGCTCCAAACCCTTCACTGTTCCCCACTGCTCTCAAGTCTCACCTTCACAGCCCCTCTACAATGACCCCCACACACATACACACAATGACCCCATACACACACACACACACACACACACACACACACACACAGGCCCTGTGCTCCGGCCATCTGGCTCCTGGCTCCTCTCAGGGCCTAACACCACCACTTTCTCCTGCCATGACTTCACTCGGGCTGCCTGGTGAGACTCCCTCCTCTCCATCCATCACCATCTCACATGCCCCCTCGCCCATGGAGTATTACGCACCTCGTTCAGGTTTGTACAGATTAAAAAAATATATTTTTCTTCCCTAGGAAAGTTTTAAGCCATTTCTGATTTTAAAATAATTTTTTAATTCTACAAGTTCATCTGTAGTCATCAGGTCTGACTCTCTCCGTGACTCCACCGACCCCAAGGCAAGGGCAGGGAAGAAACGCTTCCTGTCTCCTTAGGAACACTAGCGCAGTCACCTCCAGGAGCACACCAACCAGTTTGTTCTAGGTTTATTCACCGTTAACTTAAATTTTTTTTGGAACAAGCTTAGGCACAAGTAAATAAATATTCATTTTCCTGGAGGCAGGGTTGTCCAGAGGGCAGAGCATGGGTTTTGAAGGTAGATTTGTGTTCTAGTCTCAGGGACTCTGGGAAGTTCCATCGTAGCTGGCCTTCAGTTCCTTCATGACAAGGGGTTATAATTCTACCTTGTAGGGTTAGTGTGGGAAATGAATGAGAGAATCTAATAGCATCCAGTGTGACCCCTAACACATCTGCCCATTCAGCAACTGCAGGACCCCTTCCCGCTGGGTGCAGAGCTCTGGAAGCATTTCTCTAGTTGCAGTTTGCATTATGTCTTCTATTTTTCCAATCCCAACAAAGGTTTTTTTTAATCCTCTCATGCATTGGTGCTCACCAATGCCTATCTGGTGGCTGGCTGCCAGGGCAAATAAATTGTCTGGAGAAGCACAAATATGAAACAGAAATCATTAACTTACATCTCTCTATGAATCTGCTTAGTAGAGAGCTTTCCATGAAACAAGACACGGCGGAGGGGGTAGGAGTGAGTCCAGAGACAAGTCAAGGGGTCTTTGCCCCAGTGAGGACCTGGCTGGGTGAACTGAGGTGGAGAAAGCACATTAGGAGAACCAGTGCAGAAAACTGCTCTGGTGACCAGGGATAATGGGTGACAGACTGGACAATTTGACCCCTGCCCTGGCTACTGTCCCTTCCCTCTGTCTTCCAGGCTGTGTGCAGAACAAATGGCTTCTATTCACTCAATGTGCAGAGCTGGTTCGGCCTCCACAAGACAGTGCAGCCCCTGGTGAAGCGGGTCTGTGACACTGACCGCCTGGCTTGCAGCAAGACCTGCTTAAACTCGGCTGACATTGGCTTCGTCATTGACGGCTCCAGCAGTGTGGGGACAGGCAACTTCCGCACAGTTCTGCAGTTTGTGGCCAACCTCAGCAAAGAGTTTGAGATTTCAGACACAGACACACGCATTGGGGCTGTGCAGTACACCTACGAGCAGCGGCTGGAGTTCGGGTTTGACAAGTACAGCACCAAGCCAGACATCCTCAATGCCATCAAGAGGGTGGGGTACTGGAGTGGTGGCACCAGCACAGGGGCTGCCATCAACTACGCCCTGGAGCAGCTCTTCCAGAAGTCCAAGCCCAACAAAAGGAAATTAATGATTCTCATCACGGATGGGAGGTCCTACGATGATGTCCGCATACCAGCCATGGCTGCCCACCAGAAGGGTAAGCTGGTCTTGCCAGTTAGCCTGAGGGCAAGGCTTCTCTCTGGGGCATAGTGGGCCAGTGGAACAAAACCACAGGGATAGGATTAGGGGTGTAAACACTGCAGGTCCCTCTGAGTAGTGAAGAGGTATCAAAAGCAGCAGAAAGGTAGTTTCCAAACTGTCATCACAGGGACCAGCAGTTAGCATAATGGCTATGTTGCTGGACTCCCATGTAGTTGACCGTGGTTCGAGTCCCGGACCCAGTGGCTTAAACTCACACTGGGCACGTGTGAATGCCCAAGATCCTGAGAGGAGAACAGAGGAGAAGGAATTGCGGCATGGCCATCCCCCTGGGGGGCGATTTCTCGCTTTCTGTCTTTGTCTTTCTGGCAAGCACACACATCCTACAGCAAAAACCTCTCCAAAAAAAGAAAACAAAACAAAACAAAGTGTCATCACAAACATGACACCTGTGGGTAACTGAAAACTTTAATCTTTTCCTTTTTTGATTTTTAGGAATTTGCCAGAGGACATGTGTAGTCACCAGAGAGATACAGAGAGAGCCTTCACATTTATGTTCTACATCCTGAGGCACTCCCAGAGAGAATGTGACACATAAAAAGGGAATCTGGGGCCAGTAACTGGCATGGTGGTTAAGGCGCTGGGCACTCCCACATGGCCTACCACAGTTCGAGTCCTGAACCTGGTGGCCTGCTTTCTTACTTTCCCTCTCTTGCACTCTGGTCAAATTAAAATTTTAAAATGAATGAATAAGTAAAGCTAAACACCGTTCTGAAAAATGCCATAAAATATCATGAAGATACCAATAATCTGGAGAAAAGCCCAGTGGTGACAGTAACAATTATAATAATAAAAGCTTATCAAGCAGTCAGTGATCACTGAAGACCTACAGAGAAGTACCTGTGTGCAGATCTCACCCAGTCCTGTGGGTTGTGCGTTTTCTTCTGTGCCTATATTTAACTTGGGTTATTTTGCAGGATTTTCTGTGTTGTTGAATGCTGCTTTAAACTCTTCCTAAAACAAGCCTTAAGGAATCAGCAGTGCTAGCTCTGGGATCTAAAGTAACCAGACACAGGGTTTAGACAGCGTCTTCCTGTGGTCTACCCTTGGCAGAACAGAGACGTGGACACATTGTGGTGAGGTAGTTAGCCTGCATGCAGTGATCATGAGGTCCCTTGGGCAGAATGAAGGTGGTTTTAGGCTCAGAAGCATCCTGCCCAACATTTCAAGGAGTGGGCTGAGCCACATGGGCCAGCTCTCGGCTATAATCCTGCAGAACGTACCTGCTTTTTTGGAAGCCTGTCCCCAGTTCAACTTCAGCTCCTACATGTACCTTTCAGGCCTCACCCAGCAGGTATCCGTGACCTATTCATCAGGAAAAGGGAAGATTGAGAGAAATGTCCTAGGAATTACCAGGTTGCTTTTAAGAATAAGGACCAATGGGACCAGCAGGTGGCATGGTGGTTAAGGTACTGGACTCTCACATGGTGGGCCTTGGTTCAAGCCCCAGACTCAGCTACTTGGAAATCACCCTGGGCATATGTGCATGCATGCCAAAATCCCAAGAGGAGAATGGAAGAGAAGGGACTGTGGTGTGGCCAGCCCTCACCCCACCTCCGGGGGATGATTTCTCACTTTCTGTGTTTCTCTCTCCAGCAAGCACTCACGCCCTATGGAAAAAAACTTAAAAAAAAAAAAGTTAAGAAAAAAACATCTAGGACCAATCAAGGCAAATTATATACAGGCAAGTTCCTACTCAACCTAACACTAAGATTTGTCTAAAAACGTAATAAGCATTGTGTCCTAGAGAGTAGTCAAGTCAGGGTCAGGGGTCATTTATCAGAATTGCCAGTGGAAGGTTCTGTACAAGAAGGGTGTGGCAGCAGCTGAAAGCCCAAAGCTGGCTCCTCTCAATCTAGACACTATTCAGAGAAAAGTAACTGGAGAAGAAAAGTGACTGGCAGCTTAAACACAGCTTAACGGGACACAGTTGAAAAGGAGCTTGGACCAGAACCATGTGAAGTGCAGACAGCTCTCCAGTCTGCGGGACAGGCCACCCAGAAAACGCTGGAGGTAGTGAGATGGGCTGCTGTTGGGACTGCGGGGCAGGTGCCTGGGAAAGATGCCCTCACCCAGGCTCTGATAGCAGTTTCATAGCCATCTTGCTAACCCACTTGGCCAGCCTGAAGGAGGTATGGGAGTGGAGTTTTGTAGAGTCAGGTCAAGTGCCTGCTTACCTGCTGCCCCCAACCCAAGTCAAGGACCATGAGAGCACAAGGATCTCCATGTTCCCACTCAGAATGGATGACTGGTCTCTGGGTTCTGTCCTCTCTCCACTGGGCATTTTACTCACCGTGTACTACATTTAATCTGTGCTTTCCCATTTCTACCTGGACATGCTCAGGCATTTCCTTCCTCAGAGAATAACATTCTCTTCGACTCCATGTTCTGCTCCAGTCACCACCTGCTTCCTCCCCTTCACAGTCAAATTTCTACAAAGGACTAAGTCTATATGCTGTCCTCACATCTTTGCTTTTCACTCTCAACTCACAGCAATTCAGCTGTTTTTTCTCAGTCCAATGAGCACTTTTTCATTTTGGTCTTACATGATCTTCCTGCAGCATTCAACACAGTTGGTCGCCCCTTTCTTTTCTTGAAATCCTTTCTTCAGAATGGTGAAGAGTAGATGCTAGTTGAGCATCTCTCTGAGGCCTTGGGCCAGAGTTTCTGCACTGAGAATGAGTCTATGGCTTGTAAAGTTGCCCTCAAGCCTAAAGTGGTTCAGTTCCACTGTTCTAGGTTTTAAAATCTTGAATTGATTTCCTTTTCGTAGAGAGATATTTTCCCTATAGGGCATGCATGCACTGGAGAGACCGAGAGACAAAAATGAGAAATCACTCCCCAGGGTAGATGAGCCCGCTGCAATCCCTTCTCCTCCACTCTCCTCTTGGGCACACACGCGCACGCACCCATTGTGAGTTTTAAGTCACTGGGTCTGAGACTCAAACCACAGTGAACCATATGGGAGTCCAGGGATGTAACCATTACACCATCTGCTGGTCCCCTGAATTTGACTTTTGATGAATTTAAGATTCTCTGAGATTTTGTTTGGCTTTCCATATGGGCAAAAACTCTTTACTATAAAATCATTCTTTATTTTGTCTATTATTTCCCCCAAAGACTATAATAGAGTCTTATTATATAATAGAGTCTTAATATAATAGACTAATAATAATTAATAGGGTTGGCATATAGCAGATGCTCTAAAGTATTTATTGAATGAACCAATGGATGAATGGATGGCCATACTTAGTCTTAATTTGGGAAACCTAGATGTCAGTACAGCTTTATTTTTTGGCACATTTCTGATTTCAGATTTGTGCCAGTAGCACAAACAGGAAAGCAATCATTAGCAGTACCTTCCCTTCTTTTGGGGACATTTACTTCATCTAACCTTTGTCCCCACAGGGGTGATCACCTATGCAATTGGCATTGTATGGGCTGCACAGGACGAGCTGGAAGTCATTGCTACTCACCCTGCCAGGGACCACTCCTTCTTCGTGGACGAGTTTGACAACCTCTACAAAACTGTCCCCAGGATCATCCAGAACATTTGCACAGAGTTCAACTCACAGCCTCGGAACTGAATTTAGAGCAGGCAAGAGGCACCAGCAAATGCTACTTTCCTGGCGGACTCCTTGGACAACCCTCAATGCTTTATGGGGCACGCAGAGGGCAGTATGGCTTGGGTAGGGCTGGGGAAAACAGATGCATTGTTACTCTTCTTTGCTATTGGGGTTTCCACGCTTCAAACTTGGAGTTGGAAAGGTGATCATCAATTTGTAGAATTATCAAAAATGATACACTATTTGAAGGATGCAGGGGATTTTACAGTTTGACAATTGTTTTCAGAATAAATGTTCAGAATAGACTGCAGCATTTATGATGGACTCAAGTAGAGCTTGTGTGAGCTGATTTTTTTTATTTCTATTTCTCATTAGAACTCTGTAAGCTTCAATACGTTTCATTTCTGTCATGAGAATGGAGGGATGGCTTCATTAAATGTCTGAAAGGATTACACACGATCTTTCTGACTGTGTTCTCTGTAGTCTTCACAGGGTCAGTGGTGGGGCCTCCATCTGCTCTTCCCATTTCCAGAGCGCAAACTGTGTGCTCACTTCTAGCCCAAAGGGATGACACTCCTGCCAAGGTGCAGGGACAGTACGGCATAACTTCTCCCAGTTCACCTCCTCCTTGCTATCACCCTAATCACCCAACACTTGTGATATACCGCTTAGGAGTAATTGGTCCTGGAGAATGAAGCCAATCTTGCCTTTAAGTGTGCACAGTAGGATCACTTGGGAGACAAGAATGCTGGTTCCCAAGCCCACCCCACTAGCAGTGGCATCTGATTCTCTGGGAATGGAGTCTGAACATTGACGTGCTTGAAGAGCTCTCTGGTGATTTCTAAATAATGCCACGATTAGAAACCACTGAGTTACTCTAAGCCTTTAGTGTTAAAGCTGCTTCCTGGGAGAGGCCCAGTTTATGCCTGTTTAACATTTAACCTGGACTTTTCATTTTAACTAGATGTTATTATTGAGAGTTGCATTAAAATTAACTGAAAAAAATATGGCCGAACTTCACCTTTACTTCTAACTTCTGCCAAGGACTTATGAGGATAGGAAATCCATGTGCAATGGGGAAGCATTCAAAATTGTCATAAATAGAGATGACATACTTGATAAGTTACGTTCTATAAAAGTACATGTTGGGCTGGCCACATGGCTTGGTGGTTATGGCAGTTGGACCTCACATGGCCAATAGCATGGTTCAAATCTCAGCCCTGGCAGCTTGAAAAACACACTAGGCAAACGTGTGCCCCAAATCCTGACAAAAAGAGAAATAGAGGAGAAAGGGTCACAGAGTGACTATGCCCTATTGGGGGTGCTTTCTCTCTCTCCCTTCTGCCTTCCCTTTCTGGCAAGTTCACATATCTTCTAGCAATTAAAATGAAGATGATAGGGGAACCTAATATGTTTGGGTGTCTACAGAGACTACGGGCTACAGTCACCCCTTGTAAATGAGGGCAGGGTGGCTGTCCAGAGAATCAGAAAAGTGATGGGGAAAAGTGGAACTCACCCTGGACATTTTACACACTCTGTTCCCACTGCACATTTAATAGACCTTGCGGGTACACTTTGTGGAAGGAATTTTAAATTGTCGAGCTTACCAGAGAACTCCCTATGCAGCTACTTTGGTTATTTTTGTGCTACTATTATAAGAAGCCAAGTGGTTAAATACTATAGACCCTGGAGTCAGACTGCATAGGCTTAATTTTCAGATTTGCCTCTTAACAGCTTTATAACCTTGGGCAAGTTACCTGACACCTGCATGAGCTGCAAAATGAGAATAAGAATAGTATCTCTCTCAGCAAATTGTAGGGATATGTAATCTAGCACATGTGAAGCCCTTCGAGCAGTGTCCAGTATATGACATTCACTCACTATTAGGTGTCATTATCACTTTATTTCTCCTGAGATTGTTTGCAATTGCCATTCATAGGTTTTGTGCACAATCCTACAATAGTAATTATGTAGTTTTAATTATTCATTTGTGTGTGGTTTCCCACTGGTCTGTGAATTTCTCAGAGGCATTATTAGCTGAATAAATGTCTTTCCAAAGTAGTTAAATTCATTCTTGCAAGCATATTTTCTACTTACTACATTTATACAGAAGTTGAGCATCCCTATTCTCAAAATCCGACATCTGAAATGGTCCAAAAATTGAACCTTTTTATTTTATTTATTTATTTTTAATTTAGAGGTTTTTGCTATAGGGCGCATGCGTTCAGCAGAAAGACAGAGAGAGACAGAGAGACAGAAAGCGAGAAATCACTCCCCAGGGGGGATGGCCACACTGCAATCCCTTCTCCTCCATTCTCCTCTTGGGATCTTGGGCATGCACACACACGCACCTGGCGTGAGTTTAAGCCACCGGTTCTGGGACTTGAACCACAGTCAACTACGTGGGAGTCCAGTGACATAGCCACTATGCTAACTGCTGGTCCCCAAAATGTGAACCTTTCTGAGTGCTGACATGGTGCCACAAGTGGAAACCTCCACACCTAATCTCATGGGACAGACCACAGTCAGTACCCTGATGTAAAAATGCCATATAGGATTACCTTCAGGGTAGCTGAGATGCTGCAGTGGCGGTGCAACACTCTACCACGCTGATGCCACACACAGGAAGGTGCCAGATTCACATCCTGCATGTGCCCGTCTCACGTGCATACCTTCTGGCTGGCTGAGGCTGGGAGTGGATCACAGCATGCAGGCCCTGTTTGGGCACCTGTGCCTCTCTGTGCCTCTCTGCGCCTCTCTCTCCCTCCCTTCCTGTCTTGAAAGAAGTAAACATTAAAAATGACCTTTAGGCTGTGTGTACATGATACATAAATGAATTCTGTGTTTAGATTAGGGCTACCCCTAAGATACGTCATTATGTAGATGCAAATATTTAAAAAATCTGAAAAACACCTGAAATTCGGAACAACTGTAGTCTCAAGCATTTCGGACAAAGGGTCTCAGCCTGTACACAGGGAGACCTTCACTTAGGATTTTGACTGGAAAATAACATTATTATTATTATTTGGAAACTTCTCTTAGAGATTACAAAATCCTTGGACCCAGGTACATTGAAATGCTTGCATCTTTGGCTTTAAAATGCTGCACAGGAGCCAGCAGATGGTGTAGCAGTTACATGACTAGACTCCCACGTGGCCGATCTCAGTCTGACTCTCAGACCTGGTGGCTTAAAAATCACGCCAGGGGCATGTGCATGCATGCCCAAGATCCCAGGAGGAGAAAGGAGAAGGGATTGCAGCACGGCTATCCCCTCTGGAGGTTATTTCTCATTCTCTCTCTCTCTCTCTCTCTCTCTCTCTCTCTCTATCTCTCTCTCTCTCTCGCGCGCGCGCGCGTGCAAACACCCTAAGGCAAAACAAACAAACAAACAAACAAAAACTCTTTTAAAAAATTCTGCACAATCTTCTTATTGAGGTTGAAAAGAAACTCTTTCTCCCTGATTTCAAGGTAACTTGTACAGGTTTAAGTAATTGAAAAAAATCACTGTTATTATAACTGGACACAGGTTTACAAATGCCTTGAGGATGTCAGATCAACAATTTCATTGATTTTGGGTTTTGTTCGGGGGGTCTGCACAGTTTCTAGGGTTCTGGACCTTCCTGATTTCTACGTCCTGAGCAATCTTTGTAAAGGCTCTTTGTTGAGAGCATAGATTCCAACTTGCCATTAACCTGAAAACGCCCTGCTCACCTCAACCAAGTGTGAGTCTAGAGGAATCACAGACAGGGGCTATTCAGCAGGAATTGTGCTTTTTTATAGCAAGTCTTGACTGCCAAGCCCGGTATAGTATTTGCTTACTTGGGCAGCTTGCTACAGGGCCCATCTGTGGAAGACGGATGGCAAGGATAAAGTTCAGTTTCAGTCTTTCTCAATTAAAGGACATTAAGAGAAAAAAAAAAAAAAAAAAAAGCAAAGCCTGGCTTGAAACTGTGGTCTTTCAAACGTATTTGTTTTCCACGTGGATGGTTATTTAAATAGCACATTTCTTCTCAGTTAGACCTTTAGTGCCAGAAACAGAAGGGGATCCCAGAAGCATGGTGCCTACCTCCCTGACAGTCTGAACAGCTCTTCAACTGTTAATGATATTTAACGCGTAACATCTTGTAGTCCTTGAGGCCAAGAGAAGTGAAAGGGAGTCTTAGGGAAGAAGGCACTGTTTTTTTGTTTGTTTGTTTTGAGTTAAGTTCTAAGCAAAATAAAGGCAGGCCCAGAGCAGGAAGGCTGTCATTCAGCCTGCATTTGGTTTTCCAAATTTGGAAACTTGTAGACATGCATTTGTTGGTATCCAAGACAACTTGATGCTTCCAGAAACTTCAAATGGTAGTTACTTGTAGGTGATCAGATAAAGCCATGGGGGCACTCATTTCCCTGCCCGCCAATCAGCTTGGATTGCTGGGGCCCCTGCAGAAGGGTCAGGCCCTAAGAGGTGGGAAGCTTCCCCTGTTCCTGCTCTCCCGCGCTGTTCACTGATTTCAGATGAAGAGGATTCTGGATGAGAAGATGAGAAAGTTACCTGGTTCTATTCTGCTCCTGAGCATCATCCCATTTCTGAGTTCTACTGTTTTCCTGAGCTTGGAGTTATAAGTTACTCCATTTCCCCTCCAAAAACTCACCCTTTGCTTGATCTATTACCAATTGAGTTTCTGTTACTTGCAGCCGAGAGAATTTTAACTGACACCGATGCAGTCCACCATGGCTTGGGCCCGCCTCTTTTTTCAGCAAAGTTTCCTGACTCCCTGCCTCAAGTTTCACGTTGTTGGTTTCTGCACAGCAGTTCCATGCCGCTTTTCCTTTGCTCCTGTCATTCCCTCTACTGGAATGCCTTTTCCATTTTTCTCTGCCTGGCTGAAAAGTACTTGTCCCAGAAAACCCAGCGCAGGAAGTCTTCCCAAGGTTCACATTAGGCAGATGTTATCTGTTTTTTGCTTAAAAGACTTATTTCATTTTATTGTCATTATTTTAAAATTTTAACCAGAGAAAGACAGGAGAGAGAAAGGGAAAGAAGAGAAAGAAAGTCACCAGGTCCAGGACTCAAACCATCATTGGCCATGTAGGAATCCAGCACTTTAACCACCATGCCACCTGCCAGCCCCCAAAGTGAGAAATCACCTCCCATCCCTTAGGGGCTATGGCCATGCCACAATGTCTGGGACCTGAACTGCGGAGTTGGCTATGTGGGATCTAGCTGCCTTAACCTCCACACCACCTGCTGGCC